AATAATCTAGTTGCACACATTGGCTGGGTCCATTTGACTAGTGGTTTCAATCATCTGTACTACAGGTTCACAGATCAGATTGTATTACCTACCTCTGCATTGGAAGAGTGACTTCAGAAATTGTTGCAACTCTGGCAAAACCCACATGCCTTCATATATGACATTTTCAATACAGGCAAAGACATATGGGTGGCATGTTGCTCAATGCTCTGGGAAGCATATGATGATTAAACCATGGTTTGATTATGTATCTAAATTTGTATTAGCAAGACCTGTTATCATTCAATCACCAAGTGATTGAATAGAATCAAACCATGGTTTGATTTATGTATGCTTGTAACCAAGACCCAACAGGACTATTATAAAAGAATTTAGGCTTGAAACAAATGTATATATTAATAAAAAACAAAGCCTTGGTTTAAAAACCCATAAGCAAGTTCAAACATTAGAAATATCATTGACCCATCATATGATTAATAGTATTGACTGTAAATTCTTATCATCACATGATGGGTTGTAGATTGTCAATTAGGTCAACCATGATGGTTCAAATAACATGCCTCCTTAAATTACCTTTACTAGTTGATTTTTGCTCCATTATTTAGTGTTTTCATGATGCATAAATGAGGCTGCTTTTAAACTGCTCCAGTTTTCTTCTGCATGCTTGGTTTGGCATCAATCTGCTACAATTTCATGTTTACTATGTGCAGAAAATAGCTGTTATTAGACCCTAATTCTACCACATACTCAGTTGTTTACATGATCTGTTAAATTCTACAAATGTACAAACCCTACTCTTGTACCCTGTTGTAGCATAAAGATACCTTTGTTTTTACCATTTGAGGTTTTTAGTCATGTTTTCACACTCTGACTTTGAACATTCTAGATTGTTCTCTAGTTGTGTTTGTTTTACAGATTCACTCTGTTGCCATGACTGTAGACAAAGCAGCCCCAGCAACAATTGCCTGCAACCAGCTCCATAGCAACAGCTAGGCACATGTTTGTATATTTAGTTGCTTCTGCCTGGAAATTTTCTTCCTTCTTCTCAACACTAGCATCATGATAGTCAGTCAACATTACACTAGTAAGTGCTTCTACACAGCTTGACATAACAAAGTACTAACTCTAAGCAGTGTCTGATCATCCAGGTAGTTAAATACAATCCTAACACACTGTTGGACCAGCTGCTGTCAACAGAAGCTAAGCATGGGCAGATTCTCAGACCCTGCCAGGTGGAACTCCAAACACCATGAATACTGCTCCCAGTTGTAGGCCTTGTTCATTACATTAGCATTATTATGTCTAACCTTATTGTTGATCTAGCAGCCATGTCACAAGAGTAACAAGCTAGTAAGCTTAGATTCTACCAGGTTGGTCAAGGTTGGAAAAGATGCTAAGAATCTACAGGACAAAACAAATCCACGAAGGGCTGTGGAGGTAGGGATTACCTTCCCATTAAGATTGTACACTTAAACTAACTTAAAGCAGGGCAAAATCACTTGGCACCTGAAGAGCAACAGCATGATTACACCAAGGAAAACCTTACATTTACAGACCCTCTTGCAGACACCATCAATAGCGCGTACCTTGGTACAGTGTTGGTTTCTATTGACAAGTTGAACACCAACTGGGGAGAAGGACTTGACACCAATTGTCCTCTTTCTGAGTCCCAGGTAATGAACCTGGTGAAGATATTTACCCAGTCAGGTCTCTGAAAGGAGGAGTTTGATCATAGGTTGGTGGCTGGGTGTGATCAGGGGATGTGAAACAGACTAGTTGCAAAAGGAAACCTTTCTGTGGCAATTGTCAGTCAAATCTGAGATGGCCTTCACAGGTTCTCCACCAATCTCCATGAATTTCATACTATTAACATTGATGATGAGAATATTCTGCTGTATGCTGGTCAACATAGATGCAGGGCCATCATCCACATTTGTAATACAACTGAAAACCTCACTGAGGAAGACAAATGCAAGGTATGCTTCAAACAAAATCAAACCATGGTTTATATTAATAACAAAACAGGTCAAATTGTGGCCTTGCAAGTTCTATGATGACAACAAACTCATGGTGGGAGCAAAAATGAAGCTCCAAGAGAATCTCTGACTGATTATTCTTGCCAAGTCAGATGGTGACTTGTGGGCTCAAATGCAACAACTTCTGTCCCTCTTGCCAGACCATGAGCACAGTGCCATCCTCAAGAGCAAGAAGACATTTGAGACATGGGCATCATGCATCAGCTGGCTGACTGATGGAAGCATTCAATGTTTTACTACACTTCTTCAACATCTACTTGCAGAAATTGTCACCAAAATATGCTTGACTCTATGGGGTCACAAAGTGATGTGGATCTCAATGGTGGATTGCATTGCATACACTCACATTGACAAAGTATGTGCAATACCTAAAGGAAATTTGTACCATCACTGACTGCAGCATTAGGTGTAGGTCTGTCTCTTTTGGCACACCCTGGATGAAATGGTGAGGTTGGTAGGTGAGCACAACAAGAACAAAATTACTAAAGAAGACATCAACATGGTCAAGCTAGCTGGCAAAAAGATGACACAACCTTCAGACCTTGAGAAGCACTTTTTTCCTGCCAAAGATATTCAGTAGTTGCTGGGGACAAGCCATGACAGAGATGGTGCAAGTTGGCAACCCCCTCATTTGTTTTCATACCTTTCAAACAATGACTATAATAGAGTCTATGACACCCTCAAGAGAAGTCTGCCACATCTACATGACTTTCTTGATATTGGCCATCTTGCTTCAGGTCCTGGCAGAGTGTGCAAGTTTCTTCTGCACTATATAATGAAGTGGGTGCATTGACAGTACAAAAAACCTGGCAATGCTGATGTAGCAAGGTGGTATGAACAGTGGTTAATTTTCCTCAGCACACAGATCTGACCAGATATTGAGAGTACAACCTGGCTGGGATGTCAATTAAACCTGGTCAATGTGTTTATTGTGTGACTCTTTGAGCTTGTGTGGGATAATCCAATCTGGCTGGAAAAGGCATTGACTGAAACCTATGTAAGTGCCTGCCAATCATGTCCACTGGTACTCCTGGTAACACTTGGCACAGGAGGAGTTGCCAGAGGCATATGAAAAAGGGGGTGATCAGGAACACAATGTTTTGATGTATCATAAAAGGTTTGACCTAGAAGTATGGGTTGACATTCTTAGACTTGTAGAAGAGTATTTCTACAATGGAGCAATCACAAATCCACTCATGGCTGGTATATCTGTTGAGGTATGTAACTCAAGTCACAGCACAGAAGGATGATTGGGGCAACATCCTGACTATGTTGCAGGGACTTAAATCAAAGCTGTGGACCATCTGGGGTCCAAAGATCTGTGAGATGATGATGTCTCTGAACCTAGAGTTGAAAAATTTGAACTTTCTGCATTTGGACTTGAACATCACTGACCTGGAAAATTGGGGGGCTATCTTTGGGGCAAGATGGTCATACTTTGTGCTCTGCAAAGCCCTCTACTGCAATGACCCCATCATGTTCATGCCAAAGAAGCATAAGCAGGCTGCCATCATCAAAGAAGAGCCCTTGAACAAAGTAAGTAAATATTAAACCATGGTTTGATAATCTCATTCATTATTGACAGCATCATAGGAAGAGAAGACCATCTGCTGCACTTGGCTTTGGAACTATGTGATATATCTGAACACCTACAGATACAATCTTGACCCAGAGGACAACATGGAAGATGTTTTGTCCCTCTGGCTGGATGGGATGGTTTGGAAGACAACCTCAAATGCACTTAAACAAGCAAGCTGCAATGTCCTGGGACAACAACAAGGTATCAAATGAGTGTGTATGCTACAGGTACAACATAGGGTTCACTGACAAAGGTTATAGGCACCAATGATCAAGAGCTACCTCAAAGAACACTAGGTTCTCAACAAACTGCCCATGGTATGCTTGCTTCTTCATGGTTTTTGTTGGTGCCTCAACTAGGCCTTCACTAACTTTGAACAGATCACATGAGAAATTGTATCTTGGAGTGGGAGATCACAAATCTAGGAATTGGTCCCCAATAAAACATTCAGCTCACTCAACCAAAATTGATAGATATAGGTAGCAGAGAGCAGATTGCCCAGCCCTAGATAGCTCCAGAATGTTGATCAAGTTACCCTTGGACAAGTGCTTAGCTAATTTCAGGTGGTAAAAATCAAACTGTTGTTTAATTTGTCTAGCTGAGCAACCCAACTCCTACATTCCAAATCTCATCCCACTGAGTTCCCATGGAGAGTGTGCAAAACAAAACAGGCTCCTTAGCACTTCAAAAGAGCAATCTCATTTGTGATGATTCTGTCCAAGAGTAGATTGCAGGTGTGTACCTAGGAACTTTGGCAGTTAACATCCAACACCTCAACACTGACTAGGGCTCAATCTTGACTGCCAACTGCCCTCTGTGGTCAAATCAAGCCAAGGCTCTGGTGGACCAATTTCTCAATGCATGTCTTCAGAAGGAACCCCTTGAGAATTGGATCATTGGTGGCTGCAATTTAACAGCCTGGAATGAGCTGTTGAACCAGGCACAGTTGGATAAGCCAGCTGAATGGGAAGCAATGAAAAATGCCAGACATTAATATCATCTAACCTTGGCCATGTTTCCCTCTGTGCCTAACATCTGGGATTTGAGCCTACTGCTATTCACTGGCCAACATTGTCAAGCCACCATTTGTCATGTCCTCTGTGTACATTCAGATAATTTTACTAGAGACAAGAAAGATGCAGTAAGCTTCTACAATCAAACTATGGTTTAAATGGCAACTCATCTTTATCATAGTTTGTCATGATTCTAATGTGGCCCTGCAACTTCTATGACATGGGACACCTCAACCACTCTGCAATGCTACAACTACAGGAGAACTGGTGTCTGATGATACTCCCTGAAAGTGATGGCAACCTCTGGGCAAGATTGTCTGCTCTCTTAGAACCAATGTTAGATGGCAAATGAGATAGCATCATGAAATCAAAAACATCTTTCCAAATGTAGGCATCACAGGTGTTGTGCATTGATGGCAAGGATGCATAGTGATTCATCACCTTACTTTGGCATCCTTTGAAGGACCTTCTGGATTGGATCTGTATAACACCATAGAGCCAGGAGACTACTAAGATTTCTGCCTTTGATTGTATGGCTTGGACACACTTGGATCAGGTCTGCTGCAGGCAAAAAAACAATTCTGGGAGTGGATTTGCTAACAGTGCTATGCAGGTGTGGCAAAAGCTGTTCCACAAAACCTTTGAAGGCATGAGGGACCTCCTGAGAAACAAGCACAGCACAAAATACACTTGACAGGATGTGGAGATTATGTATTGGATCATGGAACAAGATTATGTAATGGAGCTATATATGGCAAGGCTGTTCTATCTGACAGAGCAAGAGGTGTGATTGAAATCAGACCTTGTAAAACTGGATGATGCTGTCTGGCTTGCAGGGAATGACCATCTCTACCATCACTACCAGCTCTTCTTGTATCTGTTGGAGCAGGAGTATCATACACTGTTCATGACTGTTCTGAAGAGAACTCCAGAGGTCCACACCTTCTCCAAGCTGGCCACATTGGCCAACAGAGAGATGACCATCACCAGCCATGTCATTGAGCACATTGTTCACTGGCTCAATCTGATGTACACAAAGCCTGCCAACACAAGCAAAGAGTGGCAAAATGAACAATGGGTAGATGTGCTAACATAAGAGCTAGAACTGGGCACACCTCTGGCCAAGGGCCAGGAGGACACTAGGGGCCACCAAGCTCATGGTTTAGTCAATCATCTGATTGAGATGATCACTAGAGAACATCATGTAGGATGGCAAGAGAAGGCTCTTGCCTTGACCTACATACTGAGTTTACCCATTACCATCAGGGGACAAGGCAATGCACTAATGGCCACAGACTCTGCCACCATCTGAATGGACAGAGATGAAGCCTCAAGAAGCTACTATCACCAAATACCAGAAGTGCTTTGAGCATGAAACATGGTGTGACATACTGCAGTTGGTGAAAGACAACATACCATCCACACACCTGTGGTCATTTCTCCTAGATGGTCTCATTGAGCAGGTAAGGAATCATCTTGTGGTACAGCAGGAAGGGCTCACTCTGTCAGGATCCCAAATCAAAGCCATGGACAAGCTGGGCTACCAAGACCTGTGCTGTGATGTAGAGGTCACTCCAAGACTCCAATGCCATGCATCTAGTGTCTCCATAGGTGGAGTGAAAGATCATGGAGCACAAAAGTGCTATATTCTGCACCAGGCTCATGTACAGTGCTATCAAGAGACAACTGCAGTGGCAGAGTGAGCAGGATCTAGAGCCACTGTCAAGAAGAACCTGTGCACACAAGGAGAGAATGACAATGGTATGTCCAAATCAAACCATGGTTGGATTCTGAGCTAATCCACAAGAAGGACAAGGTGAACAATGCCCATTATACTCTCCACCAGTATGCTGAATTCCTCCAATTGAAAGGCTATAATCTCAACACCAACAATGACCAAGAGGATGTGTCCTGGCTAAGTTTGGAACTTTGTAAGAGTGACAGGGCAGACACTAGAGCCTCACAGAAGTGTCAAAGATTGCCAGCACCAAGTTCATCATTCTGACCCATCTCTCTCAACAAAGGAGTTGCTAACTCACCACCATGCCAGCAATTCCCCACAATCAGAGCCAGCACCCTGAAGGGAGCACTCCTGCACAGATGAGCATCACCAACCAGCTAATACACAATGAAGCCTCCAGGATGTGACTTACCATGAATAGATTGTGGTCTCATAGATGCACATGACAAAACAGTCATGAGATCACATAACTCCTCACTGCCCTAATCCTTTTCACTATCTTTTCATCCTCATGGGCCAGACAACAAGCATACTTCAAGGATCAATGAATGTTTGAGCAAGCATGTTTGCATCCACATGCAGCATTCTGCTAAGTTTGTATGATCTAGAAATTTCTTTCAGGCTTTCTTTGAGCACCACTTAGACCATCTTAGTGGTTCAAGCCAGGCATACAGCCTAATAGTAATTCTTTGTTTGAATAATGCCAGAATTCATCCTTTATCATGCCCAAAACAGCATCCAAGTGTGTTAGCAATCAACTACAAGGAAAACATGGCTTAAATAGCTGCTGACCCACCCTGTAGATGTGCCACTATGATACCCACATGCCCTTTTGCCCATCTTGAGAGCCATGTCTCACCAATGCAAAGCAGAAAACTCATCATCCAGCTCATCCAAGAGTGATCATAGTGATTCTTCCCAGCTGCATCTCCAGGCAAATGAGTCTGCAGATGAAGAGATTTTGCAGGCATATCTTAGGACAGTTACTGTCCTTGTAGAAGAGTTAAACACCTCCTGGGTCCACTCCACACATGGAAACCAGCTGCTTAATGCACACCACATGCAACATCTTCAACATGTCTTCACCAAGACCAGCATACACAAAACACCCATTGAAAATCAAATGCTTGCCAGCATTTCACTTTCCCATTAGAAGGAGATGGTTTGGGCCCTTCTTGACAAAGGAGAGCATTTGAAGGAGGCCTTAAGAAGGGCCATGGCAGGAGACTGGTGCATTTAGGGCCACTTCTCAAAATTTCAACAATTAGAAACACTTGGTAGGGGCCAATCACCCATCCTCTACACTGGTCAGCACCAACATGTAGCCATACTTGCACTTCAAGAGCAAATTGTAAGTCCAGATAAATCAGTTTGTCATCATTCAAACCATGGTTTGATTTCTATACACTGACATACATTAGCTCACTGCCTGGCTTGTTGACTTTTTCAATAAGGCAAAGCTTAGCACACTGGGCAGAGCATGTCTACAAGAAAACTGAAAGCCAACAATCTTAGTTGACACCAACAGTGACCTCTAGGCCAAGCTTACAACCCTGCTAGATGACAAGTCTGCCACCAAGTGAAAGACCATTTTCAAATCAAAGAGCATGTTTGAGCAATGAGGGTGCCAAGTTAGCAAGCTCTCTGCATCCAAGGCACAGCAATGGTACACACTCTTCTAGCATCCTCTAAAGAATGTCATTGACCATTTCTGTCAGACAACATAGGGCTGGAAGACCATGACTGTTGGTGCATTTGACAGCACCATCAAGTCATGGATGCACAATGTAAGTTTCTGTGATCACCTTTGACACACAAAGCTTACCATTCCTGCAGTGATTTCATGGCATACTAATGGCACAGCTGGACACCCTTTAATCAGCCCTTGATCAAAAGTTCCCCTCCATCCAAGCCTCAGAGGTCAATGCATTGGCCCAATTGAGCCAGCCTTTCACATGGACCAAGCTCACAAACTTGTTCTTTCCACCTGGAACAGCCAGCAAGAATCAAACACACCAGGTGGCTCTTCAGGAAGCTGTCTTTATCCAGGGAAAGGAGCACTCAAGCCAACATGCAGGCTTTTTCACCTACCTGGATGATATAGAGTACTTTACTGTGTATCAGTACTTTGTCCACAATCCTGATGTCAGCATCATCAGCTATGCTCAATTTGCAAGTCTGACACACAAAGTTAGGGTGACTGCAGGGTACATCCTACACCACATAGTGATGTGGATCAATCCCTAGTATGAAAAGCCTAGAAATGCATCCAAAGACTGGAGAAATGAAACATGGAAAGAGGCCATCCATAGGTCACTTGATGCCTACTTGCAACAGCATCCCAATTGGACCCAGTCAGACAACAACAGTCATGCTGATGATCTAGAGAATCAGATCTACATGCTGATTTACCAAAGCTCTAAACACTGGAACAACTCTGCTGTCAAGCCCACCTACATAAGGTTCCCTGCACCAGGTGCCTGGACCATTGCTGACCAGAACAGACCACCACTCTGGACCAGGTGCAAGCACTCCTTGACCAAGGCAAAATGAGTGCTGCTGACTACCAGAAGAGGTTTGACCTCAGGATCTGGAACAAGCTGAGGAGCTGGGTGCAACACCACCTTGGAACCAATCCCTTTCACTAGGAAGTGATGGCATTCTTCAATTATCATGCCAAGGAGGAAGAGATAGTAGGTTCCCCTGCCCCTCCAGGGGTCTTCACCTCCTAACATGCAATAGCCCTATGAGACACTTCCATGGACCACTTGGGGATGAAAGATTCAGGAAAGCATGTGGGCATCTAACTGGGAACTTCAAGGATTGCCATTTCTTTGGACAGAACAGCTTCAAGCTGATCTTGTGCTACAAGGTGTCCTTTTTGGTGCAAAGTAGACCTATCAGGCACTCTGGCAGTGTTTGCTTGTGGAGCTGTCAGAGCCAGTGGTTTTGAGCTGGCAGAAGCAGCAGGAGCAGATGACCAAGGTAAGACTGCCACACCTGATGCTACATCTATCCCACTGACTGCTGAGCAGGACATGTGACAGGCTGTGAGAAGAGTGTTGTGGAGCTATGCCATGTTCCTCAACCAACATGGGTATGACCTGAACCCTGAGAATGACCTTGAAGGAACTGAAACCCTTGATGAACAACCACTCAACCAGGCTGCACCACCCAAGACACAAAGCAGAGCAAGGAGAATTCAACCTGAAAATTTTGTGATGGAACTGCCTCATCCAAAGGTCAAACTGCCCATGGTGAGGAGATGGTCAAGGAAGTAGTGAGCCTCCACCAGTGAGAGCAGCCAGGAACCTGAGCCTAGGAATGACAGCAGCAGTACTGAAAGTGATCTATCATCTGTACCTACTGATTTTGAATAAGATGTACAACCCTAAGAGAAATGAACCAAAATCCTTTCAGCACCTGACACCTTGTCTTTCCTGAAAAAAAAGTAAACAACATGATTACTAATAATATAATTTGCTCTTAAACAAACATTTGACATAGATTGGCTTGATAGCTATCTTGCTCTACCATCAATCAAACCATGGTTTGATTTATCAATGCTCAACAATTCTTTCACTCTCTGACTAAAGTTGATTGTATTGTACTTTCAGATCTAGTAATTAATTTGGACTGCTTAACTATCCATAAAAAAATTAAACCATGGTTTGATCTAAAAATCTTTCAATAACTTTAATTTAGTTACAGTGTCAACAAGAAATCAAACCATGGTTTGATTTATCAATGCTTAAAAATTCATTCACTGACTATAGTTGATCATATTGTACTTTCAGATCTAGTAATTAATTTAGACAACTTAACTATCCACAAAAAAATTAAACCATGGTTTGATTTTGAAATGTTTATTTTATTTTCATTTGATCTAATAGAAAAATAAATGAAAAATCAAACCATGGTTTAATATAAAAGCTTTTTATTAATTTTAATTCTTTCTAGTACAAAAGTTTACTACTAATCAAACCATGGTTTAATTATAGAATTTTCTAACTGTTCATTATAATTTAATTCAGTTATAAAGTTAAACATAGATTAAACTATAGTTTAAATTTTTATACTATTAAAATATATAAACAGAATCAAGAAAAAAAAGACTACTTTATTACTTTTTAAATCTAGTATCTTACTAACTTGTATTTACTTAATTTTTATTATTAACTAATAATATAGAAAGCTTTATTACTAGATAAAGACCCTTGACAATACTAAAAAATATTTATTTATAAATATAACTATAGTATATAACCCTAACTTTACTTACAAGCTTTTTAAGGACTGTTATTAGTAAATATAATTTATATAAAACTTAGGACTAGTAAGACTTAATGTTATATAATATAATGATATAAAATTAAGAATAAAAATATTTAGAAGTACTTAATTAACCTATTATTAAGTATAAAGAATTTTATAGGTTAAAGATATATATTATAACTTTTATTTCAAAAAAAAAAAGAAATAATAAAATGTTTAGTAATAAATTATACTAATATAAAGATCAAGAGACATTAGTATAATGTTTAGAGTACTATCTTTATAAAAATTGTAGTCTTAAAAATTAAGAACAATACTAGTAATAAAATAGGGTTAAAGGTAAACAACCCTAAGGCCAATGCACTTCTAGAGCCTTGTACCATCCTTAATCACCAGCAAAGCCACCAACCCACCACACCCAGGCCTGAGTATACAAGAACTTAGGAGCTTAGGGTTAGAGCATTGTCCAGGGTTTGACTTTTTAAAAATTAGTCTACTAGAAACTCCTGCTTCTTCTGATTCTCCTAGTATCATTTTCTTCTAGATCAAGGCTTGTTTAATCCTAGAATCCTCTATTGAAAACTAAGAGTTTTGATGGTTTTGGTCTGATGCAGTTGGCTAGCATGAGAACCATCAAGTACCTGAGCTACAAGTTCTCAAGCTCTACTTGATTGGGTTTAAACCATTACTGTCACCTTCCTATCAAGGCTAAAGTGTCACCCTCTGCCAGCTAGACTGTCACCATGGTTGGGTTAGACTGGTTTTCTCACTAATCACAGCCTGCAGCAGCTCTGCTAGTACCTCTACTAGAGGTACTGGTTGAGTTCTTCCCCATTGTACTGCATGAAGCTCTAGCCATTGTTGTCACAACCAGGAGTCTCTCTACTGCCAGCAGGTGGTAGGTGCCCAACCACCATGCAATTGATCACCAAATACCTGGGGTGCAATCAGTGTGCAATTGATGTGTAATGAACCTGCAATTGCTACATTAACCTCCCACCATACCTGCTACTCTATTCTGCTTGTATTTATATCTTGAGGTCATTCTAGACTATCTTTTCAAGCCAGCAATCTACTCTACTTGTCATTGTTGCAGTCCTCATCACTTCATTGTATTGCTGTGCCACTGTTGACCACCTGACAGCCAAGGTGCAATTGATGTGCAATCAATGTGCAATGCATGTGTGATTGTCATGCCATTCTCCTACTACACATGCTACTCTGCCCTGCTAATGTTTATATCCTGAGGTCATTCTAGACTATCCTTTTGAGCTAGCAATCTACTCCACTGGCCATCATTGTGGTCCTTGTTGCTTCATTGTATGGCTGCACAGCTAACTGACAGGCTACTAATCTACAGGGTCTAACCAGTCTACAATGCTATAGGACTCCACCACAGGCATGCTATGGATGGGCAATTGGTGGGTGATGGGTGGGCAATGGATTGGCAATGAACATGCTATAGCACTGTCATTGTCCTACAACTAACCTATCCTTGATTAGCCACCATGTTGTGGTTGCAACTCCTACAATAAGCTCCTACACCCCCCCAATATGCTGCTCTACAGCCAGGGAAAGAACAAAAAGAAAGGAAAAGAAAAAGGAGAAGACAGAGAAGCAGCAGCAGCAGACATAAGCACACACTGTTGATAAGCACAGCTCAACAGCAGGCAAGGGGTGAAGAATGCTCAAGGGGACCTCCATCTCTACATGTTCTTTACATCAACTGTTACACATCCCCCCAACAAGAGATGGACCACAGTCTCTTTATCTGTCTTTCCTTTGTGTCAATCCTGCCATCATGGAGTCACAACACAGCAAGCTCAGGGCAGATCCATGGCAGACCACCCATCAGTCAACTCAGCAGCCATTCAGGCTGCTGAACTGTAGTGCTAGCAGCTCACTGCAGTGTGTACATGACTGTGGCATGAGTAAAAGCATGCATCTCAAGCTATCCAACCATCTCCTACACCAGAGTAGCTACAACAAGGGGAAGCAATCATCAATCTCTTGTTCTACTCATGGGAGACCCCCCTGACCTCAGTGGCCCTGGGCCTCTGCTATCAGAATGGCTTGCTGGCTCAGGACCATGAGGATGCTCAGTGTCAACAGTACACAGTGGCCACTCCTGTGCATGAGAGCTTGTATTACTGTCCTGGCATTGGGCACTCTGAGAGGCCTCCACCTGGCACTGCCATGGTGAATGCCACAACTGTGACCAGCACCAGGCCTGCCCTGAGCCAGCCTGGTCAGCAATCCATCTCACACTTCTTCACCAGCCTACCAGCCCCAAATCCCCTTCAGCCTCCTGCCATCAGAGAGCATGAGGGGCCCAGCCTTGAGAGGGAGGGAGGGCACATGTCTACACCTGCCAACAACCAGCCTGGGAGCCTAGCCAATGAGCCTCAACCCCAGGAGGAGCTGCCACAACCACTGGACCCAGCTGCTCTAGTACAGGGCCTAAGCCCCACCTCTCCTATGCTGACACCATGCTCTGACTCTACCCTGTCCTGGGGGGGTTTCTGGCCACATGGCAGCAAGGACCACCTGCACAAGATGGACCAGTGTAGCCACAGCAGCTCATTCCATGACTTTCTGTCTGAGCATTCTGAGCTGGAGGACAAGCTGGAGGATGAGCTGGAGGATGAGCTGGAGGATGAGCTGGAGGATGATCCACTCCTCACTCCTGAGTAGGCACATGCCATGACAAAACTCTATGAGCAGCTTCAGGAAGGATGCCATGGATGCATGGCCAAGGAGCATGCTGAGGTGCACTGGGCACACCTCATGGCCACAGATGGGATGCATTATGGGCTCAATGACATCTCTAGCATCCCTGGGTTCCCCTCTGTTCTCTCCCTAGACATGTTCATCTCTCCTGATTGCCTAGGCCAACAGCAATCCCCCACCCCTGATGCATGGCAGGAGATGTTCTGTAGCATCCATGACTTGTCCTCCCTGCCCATGAGGATCTGCCTGCATGCTGAGGAGACCCAGGCCATGGAGCCACATGTGGTTTTTGACATTGATAGCTTCCTGGGGTTTGCCAGCTCACTGGCTGTGGCTTGTTAAGGGATCTGGTACCAGCCTGCCCTGTAGATCTGGCAGAACCTCCAGACTGATGTGCATCTCCAGAGCCACCTTGCCCAGGACACTAGCAACCCTGAGTAGCCCTACTGGTTCACCTTGGCCCTGCTCAAGAAGATCCCCCACTTCTACCTGGGCTGGGTGGAAGGGGCTTGGGATATTGCCATCTATGTCCTCTTCCCCCACCTCCCCTTTGACAGTGCCCAGTTCACCTGCCTGACCCAGGCCCAGAGCTTGAGCTGGCTTGACAAGATCTTCTACCTGGCTGTGTATTGCTACTGCTGGGCTGACTACATGCAGCACCTACCTGTGAGCTATTGCCATGTGCTATATAGCATGCAGGCTGTGTAGGTGGAGGGTTGCCTGGTCTAGACTGCCAGCTACCAGGCCTGCCAGCAGCTGAGCTACTACCTGCAGCCTGAGTACCTGGCTGACATCTGGTGTGACATCCTTGACACCATGGCTAGCACCCTAGGCCTGTGTCACTTCTGTGACCCCTAGCTGTTCTTCTCTGCCAAGGATACCAAGCTGCAGTTCAAGACCACTCCCTCTTGGCCAACCCTGCTTGATGCCATGGACAACTTTGAGGTCTTCTTTGATTGTGTCATGGACATGGCCTACATCTTCCCTGACTGCCTCTTTGTTGACCTGGGCAAGGAGATCTGCCCTTGTGCACACTGGCTACCTGGACAGCTGGCCCTAGTTGACAGCCAGGCCTAGGTCTATCTGTGGAAGTGGTGCTGCCTGGAGCACACCCTAGACTGGATGTACAATGGCAAGCCTCCAGCCACTGGCAGCTCCAGGCAGCACTTCTACCAGCAGAACATGCTCTACAAAGCCTGCACAATGACCAGTGAGACCTGTAAATGATCATGCCTGTGGAAAGGAGGCCTGATCTATAGCCAGTTCTACAGCTCTATAAAGGAGATCACCAATGCAGCCAAGACTGTGCCCTTTGAGAACAACAGGCTCAAGGAGCTCATGCTGGATCCCTAGATTAGACAAGCAGCTAGCAACATGATTGGCAGATGGCAGCACAACACCTAGATCATCTAGCATGCATATTGTGCTAGCAAACAATGGTCCTGTGTGGCATTGAAGGACTCAATGGGGAAGTCCTTTGGCATCCATGAAGAGCACCATGTCAGCTGGACTCTCTTCCAGGGCCTCCAGAGGCACCTGCACTGGAAGCACCCTGCCAACCTCAAGATCCTCCTCAAGGACTGCCCCTTGTATGCCTGGGCTGTGCAGACCAAGGTGTACCTCAACTACCTGTGGCACACCACTAACAAGTTCACCACAGGGTTCAAGGTCATCTACATACAGTGCCACCCTGATTTTGTCACCTGGGAGCAGATGAAGATCATGGCCATGTTCCTGTGCTGCCTGTGCTTTGTGTTTAGCAGTCACAAGCTGTTGTGTGAATCCCCCCTCTGGTAGAGCCAGAGGTGGTTGGGTGCTCAGAGTGGTGAAGATGTGCACCTCTGGATCAGACTCAGCTTCTGTAACATGCTGCCACAATACAGACACTGCTGGCTGGAGCCCTAAGTGGACTGGGATTGGCTCATCTTCAACATTACCATCATGGATCACATCATGTTTGGCAATGACAACCTGAGACACACCTACCATAGGTGAGGTGGTCAGCTCTGTGACTTCTTTGACATGACTCAGTGCCTGGAGCTGGCACTGGGTTGGTTGAAGGAGCACCAGACCCATTGCACAATCACTTCCTGGTTGATGAGCTGGATGGCTTACATCTGCCTGTAGCAGTTTCAGGCTGACATGCTTCATGGGGTGGAGGCCAAGATTGAGCCTGAGCATTGGCAGGCTGCCCTTGAGGCCAATCAGCCATTCTGTTACAAGTATTTTGACTCCATCATGTGTGATGAAGTCTACCTTGCCAGTGGCAATTGTAGTGGCCTGAAGAAGGTGAAATACCTCTTCACCCTGCTCTGGGACTACAATGATGGGAAGGTCTGCAATCACTGGGAGGACTGGCCTTATTGCAAGCTGTTTCAATGGGCTTGCATGGGCTTGCAGGTCTAGCAAAGGGATGCTGTTGTCAAGGACTTCCATGCAAAACACAAGCATATCTTTTACCTCTACCATTGGATCCTCCCCTACCCCAATGAGATGGGCTTGCTACAGAAAACTAAGCAGGGCCAGTGCATGTGGTATTTGATTAGCATTGCTTCCAAGCATGATCACCATGGCTGCAATTTCTATCAAACTGCATGGGAGAAGACTAACTACAAGGCTGGGTTCCCTAATCTGTTTCCACAATACTGCTTGTGGACAAAGGAGGAGTGGGAGTTGTGGATGGAGTGCTATGTGGAGGTGCAGGAGCAGCTGCTGGATGTGGTGGAGGTGGGCAGGGGTGCTAGCTTGGGATAAGTACAATGGGCCATTGCCCTTGTGCTACTACAGATCCATTATCTGCTGATAGATGAGCTGATAGACCAATAGACCAAAAGTTCCTGTCATGTATAGCCTACTGTAGTTGTGATTAATGAAGGCTGAGCCTTTGTTAGAATCTTGCAGAGTGCCTGCTTGGAGAGGAGCTGGGCACAGAAGCTGATCCACAGAGTTATCACCCACCAATCACATGCCTATTGCATGTTGATGGCACTGCCCTTGTGGAGGGTTCTCATGGGTGCTGTGGTCCACCTGGCAAAGGGGTTGGTGGTGGCATGTCTATTGCACATCTATTGCAGGCCCATTGCATGCCAATCATGCTGCCACAGATGGAGCTCTACCCAGTGCTGGTCCAAGTAGCTTATGGTTCTCATGCTGCTGGATGAACCACTGCTTGATTTACTGCTACAAGGAGACATCTCCTGGGTTGATGATAGGTTGGTAGCATTGCAAGTACTAGTTAGTTGCAGGCCTGTTGCATGTTCCTTGCATGGCAAGTACATGATGATTCTTTTAGGATGGTACAATGATTACTATATATGCAAGGGACCTTGGTATAATTTCCATTCCATCAAGCTACTTACTAACTAGACTATAATTTGCTTAGATTATTAAAATCTCTTTATAAATCACCTGATTAATGATATTCTAAAAGAACAAAAATATATTTAATTTTATTAATTCTAGACATGGAATATTCAGAATTAAATTCTAGAGTATAGTTATACTAGAATGTGGTTTTTTAACTTCTTCTAAAGTTAAAGGTATCTTGAAAGATGATAGAGATAGATTCTTGTTAACTAATATTAATTCTTATATAAAATATATATAAGCATTATTAAAAAAATCCTCTAGTCAGACTTATTTAAATATTTTATAATTTTCTCAAGTTATATATTATAAGAAAATAGGAGTTTAACATAGTATAAAATTTTTATTTATCAATCTACAAGATAGTATAATATTTATTCCTAGATTTTACCTATTGTCAAGTTTGCTTAGGGTATCTGTCAGGTCTGGGTTGGGTTGGTCTTTACCCTCCTTTTCCCAACCTGGCTTGGTAGAAATTGAATGGGCAAGCAGACCATGTGATCAAATTTACAGATGGGCATAGTGCCAGTGAGTAGTTGAGACATTGGCCTCTAGCATGGTTCAATGTATAATTTACTATTGTTGATGAACCTCTAATTGATCTGCCATTGATGTGCAATGGATGTGCAATGGACAGGCAATGACTCAGCTATCAACTTCACTTTTGCCTCCTCATCATGGGCCTGTGATTGGACAGATACTCCTCTGAATTGCACCTCCAAACAATCTGCCATTGATGTGCAATGGATTTGCAATGGACAGGCAATGGTTTGACCATTGCACAAGCTATCTTGTCTGTTTAAGCTTGCTCATAATTCTCCAAGCCTGGTTGATCAGATAAATCTAGGATAAGGTGGCTAGAGTGGCAGTTACTTGAAACTAGCTAGGTACCTAAGGTAAGGTTGGTATGCTAAATTAGACATGACAGGTGGCCTAACAAATGTACATCTGAAGTACCTAAGGTAGCTACATGGGTAGAACTATGTCTAAGTACCTTAGTTTAGAAATAAAAGAAGTGTATGAGGAAGTATTATATACATCTCTTAGGTTTACCTAGTACCCACCTTACCCTAACCATACCTGATGCAAGGTTAGTAAGGTAGGTTAGGTAGGTAGGTATGGTACCCTTGGTTGATCCTTGAGCTAGCAGTGCTACCTGGGGCCTTGATAGCACTCTTTGTTTGTTGATGTATCATCTCACTACCTGCTTTCTCAATTCTTCTTTCATCAAACCATCAGTCTTCTCATCATCAAACTTTCATCTCTTAACCTTCATTCAAATCACATGATGGATTGGCCATACCTGTGTCATGGTTCTGATGGGCTGCTGCTCAGCCACCTTCATCAGCTGACCTTCTCCTATGCTTTGGACCAGATATTGATCTACTCTGCAGGCAGGCTGCTATGTAGATTTACTCTCCTACCTGAATGAACATGGCTCTGAAGCTCTCACTAATCACAGTCTGCTGCCTACTGAGTTATGTAGTGCTTAAACTTGCTTGACTGATTATAGCTCTAATCAACATGACATTTTACATTCTGTTGTTGTTACATTTTCCAACACTATGCTCTCACTGCTTGCCTTCTGTTCCCTATTCATCTAATCCTTCAACTAGACTAGTGAGTTCTCCAGAAGCCTCTTTTCCCTTTACTAAGCATCTCTCAGGTCAGAGCAGACCACCTCTTACATCTGAGTGCAATCACCATTGTGATCTCCAACACTATGCTCTTACCTTCTTGCCTTTGCCTCCCAAACTCTCTAATAAAACCCTAAGACTGGTGAGTGCCTCCTAGAAGCTATTCATGTCCTCTACTAACCATCTTGTATCACAGGAGATCATCTCTTATATTGGAGCACAATCAGCATCATGGATGCCAGCTTGGTACATGATCCATGGGCTGATACCAGTAGCAAGAACATCACTCCCATCTTATACCCTACAATCATGATCATCCCCACAGGCAATGGATCTGTGTGCACCTCCATAATCATGGGTGAGGCTCCAGGAATCAAAGCCTGCACTGTAATCTATGATGTACCTGGGCACTCTGCATATGTTGGGATCTGGCTTTTGATCTGTGCTAATGACCAGGAAGTGGTCCAGGCAGAGGCCTGCTTTGACTATGACTCCATTGACACCATTACATGGAGTGTAGCTGCTACAGAAGAGACCCTCCCCCCCAACATTGCTACTACAATCTAGTTGGTAGATTCTGTGCTAAGGGACCTAATGTAGCAAGGACTCATTACAAAGCTTACCCTGTCATTGTGTTGTCTAGCAGGGACAGTATGGGCTTAAAATTTGTTCAATAACAGTACCCATGGTAGATTGACTGTGGCCTTTGACAAGATTTGGCAGGCACTCCACAGCAGCACAGAAATCCATCTGCTTTGTAGAGGCTTACATGTTGGTGCCAAGCTGAAGTTGGTGGAAGCCTGGCTCCAGGAAGATCAAGCTGATTTGCCAATCCACTAATGGCTCCCAAAAGGGGCTGGAGGAAGCCTGGGCTGGGTCTTCCTACAGTATGGGGTGGTGCTTGCACCTGAGCAGTGACTGTCTGAGCTGTATGAGGCCTAGTCCTCCTTCACAAGCCTGGATGAATATGTTGTCATGCTTGGCCACATGGTGCTACAAGAGTATGAACATGTTGACTGCATCATGTAGAGCCTTGGAATGCCACCATACAGTTGTGCTATTGTCCTTGCCTCAATCCTACATGTAGGTGACTGCCAATACCTTGCCTTCATGTGGATGGATGATCTACCCTTTTGCTTCCAATCTGGTGATTATCTACTCATTAACTTCTCCCCTGCCAGGAATGTCTCATTAGAAAACTGGGCAGCTACAGCCTTGGAGCCCTTCTCTTTCTCTCCCAAAGGCACCATGCCCCTGCTTCTAACCTGACTATGGGACTGCAAACAGTGGTAGTGGCTATGCCAAGATATCCCCCTGTAGCTCCTTGACCTTGCCTCCCACACTGGCATTGCTGGTGCCTACAATGCCCTCCAATCTGCCAAGTGCCTGGATGTTGCTGCCACCTGGAGCTACCCAGACAAGCTCATTTGATGGTCACTCAATTCTCTCTGTATACTGCAGGAAAACCTCTCCAATTAGTCTGATCTCCCAGCCACCTGGTGTGAATTGGTGAAGACAATTCTGCTGATGCACAACCTGCTGGCTCTACCAACTGTGGACCTGTACAAGAATGTCAAACCCACCATCAACATGAGCACAGTGATCAACCAATTTGTGTTTAATACTTAGCAGGTTGTTACCATGAAGGCATTGAGGCACCTTCTAGGTGGATTTGGTGTGTTCTAGGGGCTGCCCAGAACTGGGAAGACCTTCTGGGCACTTTGAATCCTCCTCCCCCTCATAGGCAGCAAGGACTGCACCATTCTCATCACTACACCAATCAATGAGGTAGTAATAGACCTGGCATGCTAACTTTCACAACTAGTTAAAAAGGAAGCAGTCACCAACACCACTGGTCACCCACCTGTAATCATTCAAATGTACTTGGTTGCCATGGAGGATGCCATGGTGTGGAGCAGAGCTGGCACTGATTGACTGCCTCCTGCAGACACTTGCCCTCTGATTATCCAAGGTATGTATTGCTTTCATAACTTTGATGCCACTGGTGTGTAATGGGTGTGCAATGGGTGTGCAATGGGCATGCAATGGGCTGACAGTCAATCCTTGATTGTGGAAGCTGCTTTGCTACCTAAGACCCCTTTCTGACAGCTCCTGCAGGTCCTCAAATGAGCAAAAGTGCTGATAACACCATGTCAACAGACACTGTGGATGATGAGACCCTCCTGTTGTAGATGATCACTACACAAGAGATTGTGTCTGCCCATGAAGAATGCACATGATGACCCCATGGTGTTGCAGACCTTTGTGTGCAGGAGATTGAACTTAGCCTTGCACTCTAGATGCTCCACTTTGTAGGCATCCTGTTGGCTCCTGGGTATGAACAGCCTGACTGCTTTGCTAAGTTCTGAGACTGTTATGAACAGTACATGACATCTGCTGATGATGGTCAATTGACACAGCTATTCTGTGAGTCTATGAAGGCTCTCCATGAGTACACTCTCCACACCACTAACATCATGCTGACAACCTGCTTAAATGCTATAGATCCTGCCCTCTGTCTGGTAGTGGGTCATGTAGACACCATTCTCATCAATGAGGCTGCCAAGGTTGCTGAGCCCAAGATCTGGAACATGCTGGCTGGATACTACCCCCAGGTAGTTCTCCTCATGGGTGATCACCAGCAATTGCAGCCAACTGTACTCAGCTAGCCCACAGAAAACAACCTGGTGCCTCAATTGAGCAAGTTACTCTTCATGTGACTCAAAGAGAATGGCTTTATGGACCTCATGTTTGAAGAGCAGCACCACATGATCCCTGAGATTGGTGGCATTGTCTCCTCTCTCTTCTATAGTAGCCAGCTCCAACACATGCACACCTCATCCCCCTTGCACCTTGTCACCACTGCCATCCAGAAAGCCAACCAAGTCCTGCTTGGATGCATGGTCCTGGTGGCCTGGATTGACATGCCAATGAGCATTGCTGTCAAGTGCCTATCTAGATCCACTGCAAACAAGATGCATGCTCAAGTCATGTTGTGCCTCATGGACATTCTGGTGACCAGTCATTCCATGCAACCCTGTGACCTTCTCATCCTCATGCCATATCAAGCATAGTATAAGCTTTACAGGACTGGGATTGTATGGTTGGCTGAGTGCACAGGCCATCAGGATCTACTACATCTCCTAGTCCACAAGATTGATGGGTTCCAGGGCAGCAAGCATCCTATTGTCTTGCTCAATCTGACCATCACTAACTAGCTGGGCTTTGTCTAGGAGGGCTTGCACCTGAATGTGGGACTGAGTCAGGCCTAGCACATAATGTACATGGTCAGGAATCTCACCACAATGACAGCCACCAGTGGTACTCACCATCACCATTTCATCTTGAAGCTTGGTGACACCTTTAAAAAGTGGGAGCTCTTCTTCTTGGCTCCTCTCAGCATGCTCAAACCCTTGGAGCCTGTGTTGGTTGGCCTTGACTCTCCTTCAACCATGTCTCTTGAGACACCTGCAACCCAGGAATGGGGAGGCAGGGAAGACTGGACCATGACCAACACAACCAAACAAAGTGCACAGGGACAGAAATGGTGATGGTGGGATGGGGGAAATTGCCTGATGTTCTAGTGTGCAGGACTAGTAGGGTCAGTCCTTTTCCTTTGTCACTGCTCTTTGTCTTAACTCTTCTCATGTTCTCTTTCTAATGTTCTAGCCCATGTTACTAGAGAAATCAGTGAATCTATGCCTGTGTGACAGTAATCTAACTGATGGGCTTTCATCCTCTAGCCTGCTGTCATATGTAGTGCCTTGTCTGCTTCTTGATTGTGCCAGCCCTCTTTGATGAACTGTAGATTACCAATGGTATTTAAGGATTAGTCATTCCCCACCAGAGTAAGTTCTTCCTTGCCCATGTTATCATTTGTGCCTCTTCTTGGCTGCCATTGTATCCTGAGCTCCCCTGCCTTGGTAGAAGACATCCTACTGTTACTGCTGTGCTCTCTCTCCCACCTACTTATTGTTGGCACTGTGTGCCTGTGACCCCTGAACTGATTGCTTTTCTCTCCCTCTGCTGCCTGCCTCATTACATGGCTTGTATCTGGTTTAGGCTCTGACCATCCATCACAGCTGCCCCTTCACTACCACCTCCTGTCTCATGACAACCCTTCTCTAGTGTGTCTTGAGGATTGCCAGTTTGCTGCCAGGCCATCACACTGCAATTGTACATCCCTTGTACACCCATTGCCTGCCCATTGCAGAACTGTCATGTAGCCATTGGCACCAGGAACATTGTGTTTGATGGAAACAGCCTACCATACCTCACAAGCTGCAGGTGCATTGCCAGGCCATTACACCATGATTGCACATCCCTTACACACCCATTGCCTACCCATTGCAGAACTGTCATGCAGCCATTGACACCAGGAACATTGTGTTCAATGGAAATAGCTTACCACACCTCACAAGCTGCAGGTGCATTGCCAGGCCATCACACCATGATTGTACATCCCTTATACACCCATTGCCTGCCCATTGCAGAACCATCATGCAGCCCATTGTGTTTGACAGGTACACACCCCCCCCATGTTACACTCTCTCCTTTCAGGCAGGGGGATCATCTCTTGGCCAGGTCTTACATCTCTCCTTACTCACCACTACAGCATTCTGTCCTCTACTGCACATCCTTTTGTTAGAGTTTCCTTCCTATCAAACCAACCCAGTCCAGTGAATTTCTCCAGGACTACACAACCAGCCATTCCTCTGCCAACACCACTGTTGCTTAGGTGTATTGATTTCCTGCTTAGATGTGTCCAGCCCTCCTCCATTACCCATCTATCTACCTACCATCACCCTTCTATTACACCCCATGCTCTATACAATATTAACCACCATCTTCAAGCCTCATTGTTTATTCCATGGCACAATCTGCCTTAGACAATTCCATCTAAATACCATGTTCTCATTTGGACCTTCATGGCCAGCCCTGTCCAATCACCATGGCAGAAGACAAGAAGAGGGGCAAGCAGAGCAAGAAGAAGAAGGAGGAGAAGAAGAAGAAGAAGGAGGAGGAGAAGAAGAAGAAGGAGGAGGAGGAGAAGAAGAAGAAGAAGGAGGACCAATAGAAGCTTCAACCAGGATATGTCTTGATCACAAAAATCAAGGAGGCACTAGAAATTAATCAGGAGGAATATAACAACATACAGGAGATAATCACCTAAATCTATACTAAAGAGGAACTCAATAAGCTCCAATATAACACCAAAGCATCTCAGATAAAGGTTGAGGAGGTGATGAGAAAGCAATTAGGGGAACTGCCCACTTCCCTGCATGTGGCACTAGAATTGTGGATTGCCATTGTCAGTTGCAACATCTTTAAAAACTACACTTGGAAATTGGAGAAACAGAAGCCATTGGCAGAATTGAGCACAACAGGTGACAACAAGAAAGGTGTCTCAGACAAGGAGACAGAGGACAATGAGGATGACAAAGAGGATGATGAAGAGGATGACAAGGAGGAGGATGAGGACTAGGACAAGGGCAAGGGCAAGCTACAAGCAAAACAAGAGGAAAGCCATTCCTCTAGACAGCAGTCCAACACACTGTTCAAGGTGCTCATTAGTTTACAGATCCTCACCACACATCAAGATATGCATGTCTCCAGAGTGGCCTTACAGGAACTCCTTGCATCCACTCCTGCCAACAAAATCACCAATCTTAACCTGTTCTAAATTTTAGATGACACTGCCTTTCAAAGATGGGTCAACTACCTAATCAAGGATCTTAACTACAATCCAGCCCTCAATTCAATCATGTACCAGGATACATACAGTGAACAGATCATCCATAACCCATGTCATTTTCATGTATCTGCTCTCCACCTCTTGACACAATTTAAAATCACCTATATGCTTGTCCCTTTGGCAATTCATCAAGAGCCAACCCCTGCAGAAGGCAGTGTTCAGGAGAAAATCAATACACTAGCCCAAAGGACACACAGCCTGAGTGTAATAGCACCACCTTCTCCTCTTGTTCAAATGCCTTGTCATCAAGAAACAGCAGGCAACAAACACATACATGATTCAGACTCATCCCCTGGTGACCATGACTTGATCTCCCCCAGCACTCAGCACAAGCCAAAGAAACCAAAGCTGTCATCTTGTGCAAAGGACTATGACAACAAACAGAAGCCCAACAATGATCCACCAGATGATGACTGCCTAGGCAGTTCAAGCAAGGCTGTGCCATACAAACCAGATGACAATGTCAACAATGGGAAGGGAAAGCAACCCAAAGAGCAGCACCAACCAGATGAGAAAGAGCCTGAGCTCAATAGGGATGTTGAGATGAAGGATGATGAGGACCTTGATACAAAAGAAAATAAGGATGTCAATATGAAGGACTCCAATGACCCTCCCAAGAGACTCAATTCTCCATCACCCATCTTGCTGAATGACAGTGATGATGACTCTACCTCCAACCCTAAACTGGGTGGTTACCTGCCAAGCATTATTCCTATTGCAGACTCTGGTGCTGAACTAGACACTAATCAGCTTGGACTGTTGGCAGTGGACCTGAATATGGACTGTAATCAATTCTTGGGTGAGCTCTGGGCATGGTGCTAGTAGTTCTTTAAGCTTGGCATTGGAGATAGGCCAATGGGAAACAAGAACACCAATCAATTCACACTGGCAGGCCTGCAAGGTCAGCTGATGCCTCACTAGCTGTACTTTCTCTATTTTGCACTGTGCAATGAGGCCACTCTGATTGGTGGTGGCTTCCTGGCTGATGAGATGGGTCTTGGCAAGATGATCCAACTCATTGCACTAATGGTGATGGGTGCTTGGCTAGCACATGCCCAACACAAGGTTTCAGAGGCACAAAATTCTCTCAACAAGGCTTAGCACAACAACTACCTGCCCCTAGATGTAGAAGAGGGCACCACATGCCCAACTGACCCCTACCTGTTCCTCTGTCCCTGCATCCCTGGCAGTGAAGCCCAGACCTTCTCTGTCAAACATAGCCCAAATCTGCTGTTTACACCTTCCAATCTGATCAGAAACTGGGTTAACAAGTGGTACAAATGGGTGACACCTGGCACACCCTTGAACATGGTCCTGTACCTCAGCCACAGCTTTGATTATTCAGCATCTCCTGCCTCCAGTGAGCCTTTTCTGCTAAAGCTTCACCATGACCATTGATCTGATTTATGGCCAATCCCCCAGACTGATGAAGAAAGAACAAAACCTGAGCTCTGCAATGGTGGACACACATACTTGCAGAACAGACTGGTTATGCTGACAACACTACAATCATACAGCCCCTGGGTGAAGCAAATCCTTCAACACATGTACAAGCAGCAAGTGACAAAACTTGGCAAGCCAACAAACAGTTCCCACAGAAAAAAGGTGGATGTATTTGCACTGATGGTTTGATGGGGACAAGTGATCAAGGATGAATTTCACAAGGAGAAGAGAGATGGCTCAAAGACTCACCAGGCCCTCTGAGCCCTCCTTGGGAAACCACACTTCTGGTTTGCAAGTGGTACCTCATTTGACATCAGCCCAACAGACATGGCTGTGTACATCACCCTGCTGGAAGAGAACCACTGGAAGGAGGATACCTAATTAAGACACTGTCAGTGGACCAACATGGACCAAATCAGGGGCCAATTAAAGTCCAAGACAACAACTGAAGAGCAGCAAGTTCAGCTGAGTCATGAATTCAGGTCCATCCTTAGGACCCTGATGATTCACCATACAACAAGGTCTAGCTGGTTCAAGGCAGCACTTGTGCAGGTCACTCCCAATGAGTACCAGGAGCTTGTCATCACCCTGTTTGCAGATGATGCCACCTTGATCACCCAGGTGTAGCAGTGGATCACTAGGAAGTTCCTTGATGATCACCAGCAACATGTCTAGAACTGGGAGGACACTGGCAAGAAAGGCAAGCAACCTGTGCTGCAAACCAACACATTTTTTAAGTATGCTCACAGGCTACAGCTGTTGTCCACCTTTCCTATACTCAAGAGGGTACAAGACAAAATGTAGACCAAATACAATCAGGGACAAATGGATTTGATGGTCAATGGCATTCATCCCTGGTGTAACATGAGCAGAGAACAAAGCAGCCCATGGTTTCAGGCTCTGGGGACCCTCACCAAAGGAAGCCCAAAAATAACATCACTGCATTAGAAAGTAATGGCCTAACAGGGCCAAGGAGAGAAGCTGGTTGTGCTCTCATTCAGTCCTCTGGTGGCATTCATTGTGTACCTAGTACATCTTTCCTTTGTTGCATGCTCTTCCCCTGTCCCTCCCTCCTGACCATTCTTCTTCTAGTGGATAAAGTATACACTTAAGAGGCCCATGATCCACATATATAGCCAGATGCCTGATCTGTCCTCCCATGTCAAGAACTTCCAGACAGAGCCTACCTTTGAAGTCCTTGTGGGTACAACCAGCATTCTCTGAGAAGGGCACACATTGATGTTGGCCTTTTGCCTGGTGCTGATAGAACCAGATTTCACTGGCAGCAACAAGCTGCAAGCATTTGCCCACATCAATTGCCTGGGCCAGACCATGTCACAAATGTATATGTACCAACTCTCCACTGTGCAGAGCCAACTGGAGCAGGCAATTGTGGAGTGGCATGATAGCCACAGGCTCATCCAGATGCTGGCTTATGGTGAGAGTGGCCTAGCTGACAGTCAACTGTTCAACAAACTTAGGGTGGACAAGACCAAGGAGGAGGTAGTGCCAGAGGACAGTGCCAGGAGCCAAATAACTTCCCCTGAAACCAGTTGTGCCAATCCTCCAGGGCTGGGATGGAACTCAATCAATTCAGACCAAAATACTACTAGTATGTTTCCATGGACTGATGCATTTTATTATGAGTGGGATATGAGTTGAAAGATAGAGTTTTTTTACTTTTTTTATTATATGTTGTTTAATAATCTAGCTATTGATAAACTATCTCTTTTAAATGGAATGAACCTGTAATAAATATGCAATAGATAGACAATTCCTGTATAGAGTAACAATTAAACTATAAATTTCTCTAAGTTCAACCTATAACAGACCTATAACAGACCTGCAATGGACATGCAATGGATGTGCAATGGATGTGCAATGGATGTGCAGTAGACATGCAATGGATGGTACTGTTACTCTCT